TAGTCTGTTGCCTGGAGGGTCTCAGCTGCTGCTCTGACATTCGCTGTTTTATAGGCTGAAAGCTGACCAAATCTTGGAAGACATAAATTGGTTAAAAGAAAAAAAAAATGCTGTGCTGTCAGACATGACTCACTTGTCCAATTCATGCTCCTTTCAGACTGATTCCTCTGCTCACGCAGCGTGAGTCCAATTCTCCTCGGTGTCTGCAGCATGTTGGAAACTGCGAGTCGGATAGGGAAGCCTGCTGTGCTCCAAGCACCACAAAGACCCCGATGATGATGAAACCCCTAACAAGCTTAAACAGACGCACACTGACCCGATAGACCACAAGTGTGAGCAGCTGGTTTTGTTGGTTTTTTTAAGGACTGATTGTTGCAGAGTTTGTTCTTGTTTTTGATTTTTTTAAGCATAGGCACTCAGAGGGTTTCTTAAATGCAGCTGAAGCTTATTTTCTGAAGTATTTTAATAAGTACAAATAAGTAACTGAGAGCAAATAAATGACAAGGAAAGATTAAAGGCTGAGAAAGATGCTAATAGATGGATAGTATTGCAGATATTCTCTCCCCTTGATAAAGAGCACATCTTTGCCACCAGGTGAGAATGTAATCTTAAATATTCTGAGTTATTGCTTTATTTTTAGGCTGTATAAAAGAAATAAAAACATTATGTCTTAGAAGACACACTGCATGTTATTGTTTACCTCCAGAAATTTTGCCCATGCTCACAGGGCTGGGGGGCCAAAGGGACTTTTTTTTTTTTTTACTTGCTGTCATAGCCGCACTGAAGTGTTGGACCAATTCAGTTACCAAAATAAAACCTGGAGACGTAGGTATTAATTTAATGCAAAGGAAATAAATAATGCACAAAAATGGTTGAAGAACGTTCTCTGTGTCCACTATGCTACACACAGTTTTGTTAACACCAAACAAAAAAAAAAAAACATTTCCCACAAGAACAGAACATTCATTTCATTACGGTATTATGTGTTCAAGCTTGATGTTTATTTTGTGAGTATTGAGAAGTCATTGTTTGAACACAGCAGTGGCAGGTTAGCTAACTTAAACACCCGAGAGAGTTGGTATCTGGGTCGTTGTTGTGTTTTTTAACTAAACAAACTGAATTCCACAGCGAATCTACATGTTAAGGTTGTCATAGTCAAGCTAGCATAACTGCCCTACTTCCCTCTCCTCGCTATTTTTCTTTTTCCTGACCTTGTCATCTAGTTGTCATAAAGCATTACATCTCTTTATCTTTTATATATCAATCATACATTTAAGATTTAGCGCGTTATGTTATGTTTGACAGCTAAAATGAAGTTAGCCTCTAGCAAAGGGGTCTTCTGCTTGTGATGTCACGTTGCATTTGTCTTTCCAACTTATACAAAAACATGTACAGCAATATACACGCACTAAGAACATTATCTGAGTCGGCAAATTTGTGTTTCATATAATAATTCTATATTTAGAGAAACAAGAATGCAATTTAGCTGGAAAATAAGTGGGAAGAAGACAAATGTACTTACTCCCTCTTCTTGCTCATATAAATAAATTGTGTTGTTGATTATGTATTTTTTGTTAATATCACTGATGTCACTCATAATGCCAGTACCAAATTAATATTTTAGTTCTGTAATTCACATAATTTATTAATTACAAGATGTGTTTATATGCTTTTTAAAGCTTTGAACAAAATTACATTTATTATTTCTATTAAGGTATTGGTGCAAATAATGATCATAAGTGAGGTAAACCTCAACAGTTGGAGAAAGACATTTTCACGGTCGGTTTTTCAGCAGCAAGAGAAGATGCATGTTGAGCAAAATTCAAAATCAAGGTTCTTGAAAAGCTTAAAAATCCTAAAAGCCATTGTTTTAATTTTTTTGTAACATATTTCTTCATTTTGTTTGTTCCATGTCCTTTTTTGTGCTGACATTTTGGCAGAGGAGAAGACAAAGGAGATCTCTTCTATATTTATGATGAATAAAAAATCCTAGCTTTACATCAAAACCCTCTTCACATCCTGAATTGAAGGGATGAGAGAAAAACAAATGTCCATACTGACAATTGATTTTTCAGCTGAAATCAGAAACAAATCCACAGGAACGCCAAGACTGAAGAAAATAAAAAGACCTGTCATTTATCCCAGTGATAAAATATTTTTATGTTGGCTGTTGACCTATTGTTTTACCTATTACAGTGCAATATTGAAAATATTCTTTGCTTTTCTTCTTCACAAATCCTTTTCTTGTGGAACTGACTTGGATTTTTGTTGAAAAATGTTTTAAAGTTTTAGATAATTATGATTATGTCCACCACAGAGCCCAATAAACAGGTGCTCTCTGGCACTTAGAGGCTGTTTGAATCTGTTATTCCACAATAATAAAACATTCATACCACATTCATTACATCTCTTATTCTGTTATCAGTGGAAGCAAATAATTTCACCAATTAATGACAATGACTGTCACCTTAAAAACAAAATTGATGTTTTTTCAGTCATCTCTGCTTTAGTGAGTCAGTGGATTCTGTGCAGGAACAGATTGAAATAAATTTGTTTTCCACCTGGTAAACAATGTGAAAATCTCATCCAGGTGACAGATCCACTCATTAAGATTGTGTGACAACAGTTTCTGCGTTGTTCATGCTCCACTTGACAGATTGTGATGCCTTGCCTCAAGAGTGATTTAAGAGCAGAACGGATACAACAAGCTGGGTTGAGCTTCCGTAAAGGAGAGTTACGGCCTATATCAAGTAAAAGAACTGTAAAGTGTTTTTTTTTTCATTATCTGTAAACAGGAAATCACCATAAACTAACAGAAATAAAGGCTTGAACACATCAGTGTGTGTAATTAACCTATATAAAGTGTCTGATTTTGTGCAGCACATTATATTCTGATTTAATTACATTCTAATTTGCTTAGTGTTGCTATACATACACACTTGTTATCATGGTAATCATAACGACGGCGTCCTTTTCTTCAGTATTCAAGGCCGATATGTGCCAATCGTAATGAGTCAGGAAATGGTTACAAGGAAACAGTAATTACATTTATCCACATCTTCAATCAGAGCAATAATCAGGTTTATCCTGCACACATGCACAGTGAGAACTAAGCTTGCTATTGGACCGCTGCAGGTCTCCATAGCAAAAATATTATATGCTTTTTACGCCATATTTACCAATAAATGTGCAGAGTTTGGCAAATATGACTAACCTAAACGTATATAAGTATTATAAATGAATTAAAATACCAGAGCATTGTAAATAATCAGATAACAATCTTAACACCCTAACGACATGTACACAAATATTCAGTAATTATTTTTGTTTGTATGAGAAACTGCCAGTGCATTGACAAATAAATTAGTTCAGACATTTTTTAAGTGTGGTAATTTTAATCTATAGCTGTTTAAAAATCTATAGCTATAGCTGTTTAAAAAATAACATACAGCTGTTTCATGGAATAATCTTGGCAGATTTGAGGAGCTTTATCAGCACAGTGAGGCAGGGGAAGCGTCGCTGCGATGGTGAACTACATCTCTTTCTCTCAGATAGATGATTAAAAGTCTTTGTCAACAGAAGTTTAATCTTCACTAACATGCAAACTGAAAGGAAAGTCATTACAGCACGACAGCAATATGCTTCTAGAAACTGTGCTGACCAAAACATTCCAGTGTTATCAAGAGCTGCACTGAAAGCCTTACATATCACACAGAAAATGACTCTGACAGGATGGGCTTGTTGTGCACAAATATAACTAATATCACTTTTTGCTTCTGTGGTAATGACACAATGCAATGTGTTGTTCATCCATGGCTGTAATTACTTCAGACTTTAATAATAAATAAATAAAAACGAAGTGCTTCTCTGGAAATATGTCCTGTTTTTTTATCTCATAAGTTAGAGCAGGAGTTGTTCTCTAACATGATTGTGCTACATGACCAGAATTTTTTACGTAATTTATTTCCTCCATCCCAACAGTTTTTAAAAATGTTTGTTGTTACATGGTTGATATGAGTGTGTTCCATTAAAACGTTGATCCAAAACTGGATTAAAACTCTATGAACATTTTTATTTTCTGTCTGCTTTGCTTTGCCTGAATATTTAAATGTTAGAATAATTATTTTTTTGTCAAATCACATAAATATAAAACCTGATTTAGAAGTTTGAGCTCTTCTTTGTCCTTTGTGTTTTATCTGTGTTGGAATGCTCTCACTGTCTATATGACATCCATGAAGCTGATAAATGTACATCTGAATCTGTGCAGCAGCTTCGTCTCTGAATTAAGTTGAAGATTCTCTGAATGTGCAGAACTGTGCAAAAGTCTTGCCGTATTTATGTTTTTGTTGGATAAAACGGTTTTCTTTGGTGCCTTCTTTTCTCCCTTTTAGTGCAGCAGCTGACCATTTTGAGAGGAAAGATTATTTTTATTCCTGTTTGTCAAGCAATTAACTCTGACATATGAGTCATTCGGGCATAAATAGACTCCACACTCAAGAGGTTAACCGAAAAGACTTTACAAATAATTTATTTAAATTTATCTGAGGGGCGTGGCCACCAGATATGATGTTGCATTTGATTTGTTAATGACGTGTGAAGCTGCTTGTCATAACAGTACAATGCAGTTCACAAAGTGACACAACATTTGAACTCTGACAGCTGTAGATGCTGTTTTGGATTTTACTGCAACTTTCTGAAAGAAAGATCATTGTTGGAGTAATTTTGTTAGGCCTGTGAAGTTTTATCACTGCCCCATGTTTGTCTATTTGTGAAAAATGCTGTTCCCTGAAGTTTTTAACCCTTTCTGTATTGATAGATGTTTCACATCTGTGCTAAAAATATCTTTATGTTGAAGTCTGATGCCAACTTCACGATGTTCAGACATGTACTTTGTGATTGCACATCAAATCATACTTCCCTCATTCAGAATGTCTTTAAATGTCTGGTTTTCAATTGAAATGGACATCTGGATTTTGACTTTGTCTTTTTTCTTCGTTCAGGTTCATTCAAGCCGAGTTGCTGCAAAGCCCAGAAATCTCTGGAGTTCATCCCAATAAACCTGCACACACAGAGGATGAGAGTGACATGCCCCCAAAAAACAGGTATTGTTTCATTAGGACTGGGTGTGTTGACTTCAGAATGAGATTAACAGATACTTCCAGGACAAGAAAAAGACTGAGGCATTTGATCGCTCGCCTTTTCCATGTCGGCAGGTGTATGTTGGGAAAGCTTTCGTGGTTCTAGTCACACTCTTGTCTCTCAGTGCTCGATTTTCCATCTGCCAGAAATACTCAGAGGACTCAGGCTGGCTGTTTCTAGGCCATAACTCAGGTTGAAAGGTGAGAATTACTTTGGCCTGAAAAAAGAAACAGACAAAATACTAATTAAGCCCTTTGCGTTTTAGAGAAGAGAAATACTAGGTTGTCTGTTTTGCAGATGCTCGGCAGCAGGCCGCTCTTGGCCTGGAACTGTCTCTGTGTATTAACTATCGGTGAGCGGGCTCCATTTCAACCAAACACAGGATGATTGATGGGAAGACGGAAGACAAACATGGGGATTAACTGTCATTCTTCCAGTGAGGACCTGAGGGATGAAAGATGAGTTAAGCCAGATCAAATCATCATATCAGTCTTAGACTTTGTTTCTCTGTCAAAAAGGGGGAAAAATGGGAAAATCATATCAAAACTGACCTTGAAGGCTCATTGATTGGTAGACACGCTGATAATTAGCCTCTTTGGGGCCAATTTTCTAGGTAACTCACTGTTCAGCTGAGGTGCTCGGCTAATGTGTGGTGTGAGATCTCTCCACTCTTACTACAGCATCGCTGGCTTTGCTGACTTCACAACGGCACTTAGGAAAAAAGAGGAATGTTGGATAATTTATTACTAGTGTAATGTGAATCTACAAAGTGAATTTTTTTATTTACTGTTTTGTGCAAAGTGAGTCATTTTGCCACATTTCTCTTCATTTGTTTTGCAAACATACAAAAATGGCTTGATGTTGCTGCAAGCATGGTAAACAAATAATTATAATAAAAAGTAAGTGGACCAAATACAGAAGTTTAGGTGCTAGAAATTACAGCAGCAATAGGAAGGAAGCATATCTTTATAGAAAGCGTCATTAGGGAAGGTTTTCGTAAGGTAAGAATGAAATTTGGCAAATTTAAAATAATTTCCACAGTTGATTATATGTGGATTTACCAAAATATATATATATAGATGAACTGGCATGACCCTAAGCATGCAAAATGTATGCTCAAACCTTCCACATGTGTCTGAATTAAGACGTTTTAATGAAAAGAGTGAGACAAAATGTTTCCACTGTTAAAACTGTTTTGCAAATTCTTATTGGCAGTTGTTGCTGTAAACTTATTTACGACTTATTGCTAGGTTTAGGAGGCAATTATTTTTTCACCAAAAAAAACAGATTGGTTGGTTTGCACAGCTTTTCTTTTCATGCTGTCACCTGAGCAGTTCAACCAGGTAAGAAATGAAACTTCCTGAAGCAACTGTTGAGTTCAGAGCCCAGGTCTTAAATGTTGCTCAGTTTTCTTGTTTAAATAATGTCATTTGCTCCATTGTTCAATCTTCTCTTCTAAAGAGAAGCATTTTCTTGAGAAGTGATGTATAATCTACTCAGTGTTGCAAAGTAATTTATTTTCACTTTGTCTATTGATCATCCAGAGAAAAGGGAAATCAGAAAAAATAACAACATTGTGGGCTCTGACGAGAATTCATTTGTTTTACTGTGAATGGATTTTCACAGCTGTGAAATATTTCTGAAAACCATTAGTCTGGGAAAGCTGAGCCGAAAGCATTGTTCAGGAGGATGTTTTGTTGTCAGCGCAGATTGCTGTGTGTGAATTATGGCCACTCATTTTGACTGCCACAATCAGTTTCCTCTTGACAAAAGCTCCTCTGTCTTTTTGCTCTTTTAACGCCTCGTTCTGCTGTTGATTAACTGAGAAAGGGATAACAAAAGTGAAAAGAAAAACTGAGGATCAGTCTCAGATTGGTCATTGTGCCTGATGTTCTGTAGTCACTGCTGCTGCTGCTGGAAAAGAGTTAGGAAAACTCTGTCACATTGGTATAACTAGTGGAAGAAGCAGTGAGTAAAATGGAAAACGCATCTGTCCTCAATTGGTCTGCTGTGGTCTTCTTAATTTTTTTTCCTCTGTGGCGACAGTTTAGAGTCTGATTGGACATTAATTATATTGTTTATTTACTATTGTTTATTTACTATTTCGCAAGAAATTTTAAAAAATTTCTTGCGATCAGAATTATTTGAAGGGGAGTGCATTAGTCTGACTGTCATAAATATGACATAATACCTGCCATGAACATGAAGGAGTCTTCATGAATGTCTATTACTGTTATAAAGTGTCATTCTTTTAACATAAAGCTGCATCAAAAGTTGGATTAAAAGTGTTAACTTTTCATTATTTGGTAAATAATGACATTTTAATGCAATGTTGCATTAAAACCTGCATTAAAAGTCCATTAAATGTGTCAACTTTTAATCAAAAGTGTCATTTACCAAATCATGATAACAGTCATAAACATTCATAAAATCTTCATGTTAATAAGTTATATTATGTTTACGACAGTGTCATGTCAGTCTTATACACACCCCTTCAGATAACTGTTACCAAATTTTGATTTGTCATTGTCACACATTTCTGTTAAGAAACTACTTCTACCAGCCAATTTCAAAGTCTCACAAACGGTTTTCTGTTATTTTTTAAACATGCTAATCTGATTGCTAAAGAATTTCACCAAGTTTATTGGTGAAATAAACTGGGCCAGTCTCTATAAGCTTTTAATGCTTTTCTATCAATGTGAAAGGAGTTTTTTTTTATTAAAACAAGCTTCCATATCTTGCTGAAGTTACTTGTAGTTTTCTCTTAGTGTACTAATATGTTGCACTAACACCAAGAATACTTTAAGATTTGGGTTTTTACAGTGTCTTTCAAATCTTGAATCAATCAAGAGCAGCAATCCCAAACCAGTAAAACTCTCACGTAGCTCCAGTCTATGATACAGGTGTTTTACTTTTACTAGACCATCACATTACTCATCTCAGTCATTTAGCCATAGTCAGTATAGTCAGTATTTTTGGGACTTTATCAGCAGCTTGTCTCTAAAACATTATTCAATCCCATTTTATGCTTGAATCTGTTAAGACACTGAACATAACACTTTGACACATCCTCTGCTAATATTGAATGGTTCTCATGCTGTATCTTTTGTCCTCCATGTTCATTTTCATACATCTTAGTTGCACAATGAGCAAAATACAGGTATTGTCAGGGACCGGGCAGAAAATGAGTTTATAAACCCAACAAAGTCCAAAGATTAGAAGAGATGGTGCCTCTTTGGATTAAAATATACAGAACAATAAGACATGGAATGGAGGAGATTAAAACTTCCACACATTGTTGCATAACAACTATATACCAGTCATGTACTACCAAGTATCTGACAGACAATCCCAGCAGGACTCAAGTGAAGCAAAACATTTTCTCGCCTCTCACTCTTAATCTCTTTTTTTAAGTTTGCTTTAACCTTAATGGAGGTCCTTCTAAATTGTATTCATGACCAAAAAACAAATAGACACACACACCCTGGGTTTTTTCTGAGTTTAATTGTCAGCTTCAGTCATTAGTCATTCAAAACAAGACTTGCTCTAAGCACCTTTGTTCCTGCCTGGCTGTCTGTGAAGTATTTATTTAATTTTGAGGCTGATGTGCAAATTGGAGTGAAGCTCTGTGACATTGGCTGTCCTTCTGGTCTAACATGGGACCAATCGACCTCAAAACCAAGCTGTGAATATGTAGGAGAGAGGGGGTAATATGTGAAATACAGGTCCAGTCCTGACATAATGCCATACCTTTATTTTTCTTTGAAAGTAGCTTTGTTCTCTTTCTGAGAGAGTGAAGTTATATGCTCTCCGAAAGGTTATATTATATGTTGTTTCATACCTTTTTTGACTTTTGACTTCAATTTGGAAAGTAGGAAAGTGAAACATGAAAATAATGTCGAGTTTAGCTGAAACAAGTTCATTTAGTCTCAGTTGAGACGTATGTGTATATATATATATAATTTCATTATAAATAAGCCATGAGCAGGTGAAGCTCGAAACATTAGTTCACCTTGTCATGATAGTCCAGAAGATTCAGGTCCAGTAAAAACTGTAACCTGACATCTGCAATGGCCTCTCTGAATGCTCACAGCACAAGACTCCACTGATGAAGAAAAACCCTGTGAGGTTTGAGAAATGTCATGTTGACAAGAAGAAAGGGATAAAACGAGGGTGGAGTTTTCAGCACAACCCAAAGTTTGTTTCAGAGAAGAAAATGAGTTGTCTGAAAGAGCTGAATTAATCACTCCACTAAAACATAAAGCAACGAAGGTCAAAGTGAAAATAAGCCTCAAGTTCTGAAGATTTGTGTCTCAAGATATGGAAGCCTGAGCAACGTATTAGACGACACTGAAAAGCCTTCTTAGGGTTTTTGCTTAATAAAATTTTATAAGAACTTTAATTGATGTTTCCTGCTCCAGGCTGTTTTATTACACAGGACTTTAATTAATTTAGTAGTTTGTGTTGATTTCTTTGAACGTGAGAATCATTTTGGCTCTAATCTACTGTATATTTGCTGTAAAGCCCATCTGAACCACCTCATTAGAAATATATTAGCTGTGAAAAATTCATATTTAATCATATTTTTCCCGCTTGCGCTGAATGCCTTTTGTTATCGTAAAATGTTTGTGAGGTGTTATCAGCTTTTATTGTTGTGTTTCTTCATGACTTTAATTCAATTTGAGTTTAGATTTAATTTTTTTCTGCTATATTTATGTTTTTTTCTTTCAAGGCCCTCAGGAGCCTCATTCATTTTTGTTACCTGTCTCCATATTTTAAATTCAGCAAACTAAAATATGTTTTTTCCCTCTTTCCAGATGCTTTGTATGACATTATCACTGTCGGTGCTCCAGCAGCCCACTTCCAGGGCTTTAAGTGTGGAGGCCTGCAGCGTCTCCTGAGCAGATATGAAGCAGAGAAGAAGAGGTAAAAAAAAAAAATCCCTTAAGGAGGGATGTATTTAAGGAAAGTGTGGGTGAATTAATTGAAGCAGCATCCTGATGAAAATGGCTTTTATTAAGAACCAGATTTTAACTTCTTAATTAAAACTGACAGGAAATTTGTTTCTGCCCCATGGACTTGATTTGTGAGGTCTGAGCCAGTTACTTAACTCCAATTCATGTTGAAATTAGTCTTGAGCTCCGCAGGATTTGACAGGTTAATTTGACCGTAGGCAACAGGCTTGATGGAAAAGGTTTGGAGAGTTAGAAGGTTCCCTCCACCTGTTCTTTTCCCAGGCAAGCATTTTTCAGCTTTATCAACCATGTTAGCTTCTCGTCGAAGAGCCACAGATCATGAAGGTCAGAGGACAACTTGGAGTCGCTGCTGGATTCAGGCTGGTTGCCAGAAAAAAATTCAGTTTATGAAGAGAAATTGTGTTGTTTTTATTGGAGGAACGTGACTGAAGTCCACAGTAACGGCTACTGCATTCAGGATTTTGACACTTTTTGTTCAAGCAATCCATAAAATAAAATAAAAAAATCTTTTACCAAGGAAGCCAGTATCATATAGCCATTATCATATCATATAGCTTTACATGATATGAGGGAATCAACACCTCTTAAAAAGGTGATCATGACATTGACCGCTAATTAAACAGTGTAACAGCTAATTGATGCACCTTTCAATTAGCTGGACAGAAAATACCTTTACATGAGAAAAAACTGAAAACAGAATTAGAGTAAATCTCTCTCACTAGCGAAATAAAACGCTTGTTTTTGTTTCTTATTGAACCGTTGTTAACCTTTGTTTCGCATTTCTTCCCTTTCAAGATTAAAAATGTCTTTTGTAAAAAAAAAAAAAATCCTGGCCAAAACTGGCAGCGGCACACAGAGGTTGTTCAAAACAAGACAGAAAAAAATAACTGTCATGCATAAATTAAATAAAAGATTCCCCAGTTACAACATTTACATACAGATTATTCCTTCTCAAAATCAGTAAGAAGAACTTTGAAAACATTTAGAGACATCTTTAGATCCATGTATTTCTTCAACTGACAGCAGAAAACTAAACATTTCTTTCAAAGTTCAATTCTGACTTTAAGCTCCGAAAGTAAAAAAAATATAAGTACTGATAAACATAAAAGCAAGAGGTATCACTGATTTCTTTTTTTTTTTTTTCCACTTTATTCACTTCAAATGCCAAACCCAATATTTGTGAGGAATAAATCCATTGACAGTTGGATTGTTAAATCATTAATTCATTTTATTCTAACTATTTTCTGTCAGATCATTAATGATTCATGATACGAACTGAGCTTGCATTACACCACAGCTTTCTGTGTTTGAGCTCTGCAGTGAAATAGCTTTCTGCTATGATTTGTATTTCACTTGATTGAAAAGTCGAAAGCTGCTGGCATTTATACTGCTGTCTGAATGTGGTGAAAAAGTTTCAGTAGCTGTGAAGATGGGCTAAATTTCAACATCTTTACCTGGACCAGGTAGAGATGCTCTAGTGATACTGGAAAAAGAGTTTTTTTGTTCTATTTTGTCTTGTAAATACATTAGTTTTTTTGTGGAATTGGCAACATTCTTTTTTGCTTTTAATCTACAACGACCCTAAAACTCAGCTGTACCCAATAACTATGGCACCAGTGTCTTTTTATTAATCTTGTTTTTCTCCATTTTCTTTTAAAATATTTTGCTCCTGCAGCAAAAACTGAATTTCTTTCAAAGATATAAACACATCTCTACCAGATCTGTCAATAAAATCTGGATGATGCCGTACAGAAAACGGCTACTTAATGATTCGTTCACTGACCAAAACAGAAAAAAAGGTTTTTCTGTGTCAGATCATTACTGTCAGCAAACGACTGAGAGCTGAATGCTTTGTATTATTCTCTTTGAGAGCAACACTGACAGCTTCACAAAGACTGTTACGAGGCCATTTTCGTTGTAACAGTGTTATGAGTGAAATTGCACTCTTGTATAGCTTAGCCTGCGTTGCGAACCTCAGATCAGGGAGATGCTGCAGATTTTTGCTTTATTTGCTCAGAGGTTGGAGGTTGGAGCTGTATGTCAGTATGTGGCCACTTGACTGATGCCTAAAGAAGCAAAAGGTGATTTTTTGTTCTCTCCATCATTGCTCCCCATAGAGTGCAAAGTCATTACAGACCATGCCAGATCTAATTAGTTACAGAGTTTGCAGCACCAGAACGAGTGGGAAAGAAAAGATGAAGAGGGGTGAAGTGTGGGCATGAAATGAAAAAAAAAACTGATGGGAAAATAGTTTGGGGCTTTTGCAGATTAAAAAATAAAGAAGTGAATTTGCTGAAGATGGCCAGTTCTGTCTGCCTGCATGAACAGTGATAAGGTTAGCATATTTCTGAGAAACCACTGAAGTGAAATCATTTACTTTGCGTAAGAGATTAGGCTTCAGAGGTAACTCCCCAGGGAGATGGAGCTTTTTGTTTCGTATTTGATTTAGCTAATGACTCACTGTAGCTCAAATTTTCCAATTTTCCACTTGGCTAACTGGCTGCGACCTGCGCTGAGCAATGTGCAGTTCATGTTTGACCTGGAATGTGGTCAGAAACAGGAGTGGACCCAGGCTCTATGTTTTAAAGAAACTACTCAATGAGGCACTCTGTGTGTCAGTGCAGAGCGGTCTGGATATTTCCAGCTGAGACTCCCTGAAAATTCAGCACGAGTTGAGTCTGTTTTACCAAAAATATACATTTCCAGGATAATTAAACTTTGCCCAGCTTACCCCCTCGTCTTGAAGATACACTCTTTACTAATTATGTTTGATTAAAAAATGAACAATTGACGAGATGTGAGACTTGGCTGTTCAATATGATATTAAATCATGAAATAGAAGATGGGAAGGGACTGGAAAAAAAAGAAAAACCTGAGCACAGATGTGTTACCAGGATGGTAATAAAAGAGCCATTCATCTTTGTTCTGTGGACAGTAGAAGAGGGGACAATGGGATCTTTCTGGAACCATTAACAACCTGCGCCGGCCAAACTTGGCAATAGAACAAGAGTGCAATATGTTCCATCTCTTCCATATCTGACCACTGTATTCCTCAATTTTAAAAAGAAAATCTGCACATTTTCCTTTCTATCTTTCTTCAGTGCATGCATTACTCCCTAAATGCTTATTTGAAATGCAAGAGGATTTTTTTCTTTTTCTTTTCAAACTATCAACTTTTGGTTTCCTGGAGATGGTCTCAGTTTTCCAGTTCAGTTCTACAGAATAAAGCAAAATTCTTCTACAGAATAAAGTAAAATATTCTACAGACTAATAAATCATAATCTAATAGCTGTGTAACAGTGCTCTCCTTACCTTGATGCAGGCTGACAAAATTCAACTATACAAACAATTTTTAGCTTAATACTGGGGCAGGTAAGTGTCTTGCAGGTAGACCGAATAAAAAATCCTTCGACTGTCACCAGGCAACTGACCATTTCAAATGACATCAAATCATATTTCCTATCTTATTTCAAAATAAAAATATCAAACATTGATACAGGTTGAAATTTAAAGCCCTCATCTTCATATCCAAGATTCATAAAAGGCTAAATTTTCAAAATATGTTGATTTTTGTTTTAGAAAAATAGCACAATACATTCAAACAATATTTTGTGTCAGCTGTGTTGAATACTTACTGATTGTGGTTTTCTCACATTTCTGAACTTAGAAAATGTAACAAAACAGGAACACATTATGTTGCTGAATCAAAAAATAAGAGATGAAAGTAAAATATGTGAAATACTAAATCCTGCATGAACAGAGATGTTCATTCAAAGTACTGTCAGTGAGGAGGAGCGCAGACTTTTATCATCTTCCTGGAACGTCAGTAATTAGTTTTGGTTGAAAGCTTAAGGCTTCTCCACCAATGAGGACCATGAAGGTGAAACATCAGGAGCTTATTGAATGTTCATATTTCTAATTTCTGGACAAAAAGCATTTTTCATCACACACTGGACCATTTCGTTTTCCTGCTGTTCTGGGATCCGTCCGCCATCTTTGATTCTGTATCCTGCTCTGATTAAGGACGACCAGCAACGCCCTCTGCTGGATGACAGCAGCACGACAATACCGAAGGTCTTAACTCGTGTTTCACAAACTTTTTCAGGCTGAGGAAACTTAACCTACTTAGAAAACACTCTGACATAAATAATTACTTTATTGTAGGTTTTGGGGATGTTTTAGTCTCTCTAATTCACATCTGTATTCGCCTGAGAAACTGAAAAATATTCCTCCAGACATGAATTCCTGATCATGTAAGTTTTCCTGACATTGTTTTCTTTCCATCGGTATCTTCAGCTGTTTTTTTGAGTGTCTTGGCGTTAAGCCATTTATCCATTATTATTTTTAAACAAAGATTATTGTTTGTTTTTTGATCTGGACTTAGTAGATAAGCTTAAGATGTGCAGTAGGTCATCAGCAGGACACTCTGTTGGTTCGCCAGGCATCTGTGTCAAGCAGCAAAGCCAGATGTCACATTTCTAGGGCAAAGAGAGTGGTCGAAACCGCACAGCCCTTAACATAGTCTCCTGGGGCTGATTTCAGATTTAGTGTGACGAGCAGCATGTTGTCCAACAAAATAACTTTCTCCCAGGATTCTCCGTCTGTGTGAGGAAAACAGGGCCAGGCCGTTGGCAGTGGCTGGGACCCCATGTTGATGGACAGCAGCTTGTGGTTCAACGCCTGCTCTTGAGTCAACCACATCCAGGGGCCAATGACTGAAGGAGAAGGTAGCTGGCAGAAGCCCTGAGGCTTCTCTGGTCACAGATCATGGTTTGTCTTTTTCTGCATCAGTGAGGACAGCTTTGGCTTTTTTTTCTAACGGATGGCGATGAGATCAGAGATTCAGGAACTGACGAGAGTTGACAGCTAAAATAATTTGGACAGAGATCAGATCCTTGGGGTTGCATCTGAAGGTAGCCATGTGGTTTTACCTCGTGGAAGTGGGCTGGT